AGATCGAACTGATTCTTCATCATCTCGGTCACTCTCAGCAACAACTCATCAGCATCCGAATTTGGATTTCTCTGCACCTGCTGACTCATCTGTAGATTGAAATTCCGTGTGCCTTGATACCTTGGATTCAGAATCATGTGAAGGGTGTTATAATCTGTGCCATAATGATACCCCTGTGGAATCTCTATCTACTGGGTCCTTTGCTGGTTTGCTGCTTAAGGTCTCTGATTATAGACGTGAGGATCTATATCTTTACGAATCCTTTGAATTGATGGTGCTATTTTTTTAGCCGACGACGGTATGTGGCGTGATGTGCTAAAATTAATCATCTGGTTCTGACCTTGCCCCGTCGGCTGTTGCACATGCTGTACTGACGATCCAGGATTATACTGTATCTGATTTGTAGTAGCACCTTGAACTTGCTCAGATGAACTCTAAACTACCTGGACATCATTATCACCAGCTGGTGCTGCTTCTTGATGGCTGGTACCGACTTGATTAGTCTCTTGAGTCGACGGATGTGGAATGTTGTAATAAACCGATACAATCTGATCAACTGGAAACCCATGAAACACCTCTTTCATGGTGTTGTGGAATGTGTCCAAGAAAGCTTCATTATGGCTTGATATGGCATCACAAACAGATTTGTTTATAGCTTCCGTGAAGAAACGCATGTCTTCAGCTTCATCTACATCTGTCTGCCCATGCAACAGAACTCTTGGTAGTTGATATTTCTGAACAATTGTATTGTCACATGTTTTGGTGTAGGACAATAAACACTTGTTTTAAAATTCTTCTATAGCTTTACTGATGACATCTTTATCTCTACCAAGTAGGTCTTCATAAGGTAATATGAGGATGTTGTTGTTATTGTAAGCCGCCATGATGATTGTGGGGTCCCAATGGGCATGCCAGAACGTGTGTCGGTACGAAATTTTGTCCCGTGCTGAGGCAAACGAGCAAGTCGGAAGGGTCTGCTCGATGGAGCTGGAGATCCGCCTAGCTTCAACGCAGGGATTATCGATCCTACGCACTCCTCCCGAGACGTGCCAGTCAATTTGACCCTGCAATTGACAAGGAGAGAAAGCTTATCAGTAATTTAAGGCGGAACATGTCGGTGTTGCCAGACAGTCTCGAATGTGCGGCTCTGAGAGCCGATGTGGAAGGACATCGACTAAATAGCCGATTCCAGCATACTCATAAGAATAAATCTGTTGAAGCTCATGGAATTATGGAAGAAAAATCGGTTATCATTCGGATGAATATTGTTATTTGGACAAATATTAGTCAATGGCAATAGGATATCAAATTAATCAGTCTATATTAAGCCAATGACTGCAAGCAACCGAATTCCTTTTTATATAAAAGAAACAGCTCATCATCATTCAACCATTTAATAGAGGTAAATCTAATGAACATATTAGATCTCATCTATCGCTATGACCAGTGGGGCATGAGGCAGAATCATGCAGGCCGTAGAAACAACAAAAGATTTGACGACCCTAACTTATTACTAATATTAGTGGGGCATGAGGCAGAATCATGCAGGTCGTAATACAATAATAAGATCATGGGGCTAACCTATCTTTCAACCTACCCTTACTTCAATGGTCTCGTGATGTGAACTGCATATGTGAAAACACTCGATATCGGCTAAAACAGCTGATTCAGGCATAGCGCACAATTAAGGTCATGCCCTATCAGGAACAGATGTACCAAATAATGATTCTCACTCCATGGTGCTAATAGTGGGGTGTGAGGCAGAATCACACAGGCCGTGATAACGGGCCATAGAATGTTTTTCGTTAGTCAATAGATCTATTCAAGACCAGACATGTCTTAGCCGCACACTATGCACAATCAAGATTGACATAAAACAACCGATAAAACATTACTCGTCATTTAAGGTACATATTAGATCAGTTTAGATTAATAAACGATGTGTTAAACAGGTTATAAGGCCGATCTAGATCAATCCCAATCAGGCGAAGTGATATTGCCGTAATTAAATAAATAATGAAAGCAATAAGCAATATCGGTAACTTAACGGATCTATCCGAAGGACGCCACCCTTTGATCGAGCCGATAACTTGATCTTAATCTAGTTCGAGTAGTGGAGGTCGACCGGATCGATGCAGCCTTACTTGAACTAAACAAGAGTCGATAACTAGTTTATACCAGAGTCGCAGTAGAGATCGACCGGATCGATGTAGCCGTACGAACAGAAGTATAAGCTATGATGGTACTTACAGACAAGCCGGAGGTCGGCCGGACCGATGCAGCCCTGCTCGCTGAAGAACTCGCCGAGATCTACTCTACTCCTACACCTAAGGGGTGGCTGCAGCTGAAAAAAGTAAATGACTTGTATTTGATTAATTGTGTATCCTTTACAATAGCCGGGGTTCAATATTTATACCCGGAGCCTAAACACGAATCCTACTCAAGTACGACTCGGTACAATCTTTGATATGAAGAAAACATTCCTACCTTAAGATAACTTGGATCCCAATCTTAACCCTTTTGTAGAGTCCGATATGTATCTTCCCGGCGTCAATCATAGCTGATCATCGCTATCCGCTGACGTCATTCAAAGAGAGCCGATTCCAGTGTCGCATCCGAACCGGCTGATATCGATCTTAATGCAATCGATTTCTTAATTGGCACAATCTTGGAAGCCTTTGAGTTTCCACGTTCTTCTCCTAATTTTTGGTGTAAAAAATAGGCTTGTCAATGCACACTCTGCGAAAGGATGGCTAGTCCAGTTGGTTAACTGAGATATGCTAGTCACTCCGGCGGCACCCTCCAGGTCCTGAGTTCGACTCCCAGTGGGAGCGAATTTCAGACTGGGAGTTAAAAAAATCCCCTCACCGGTTCCGGGTGCTAAAGCACTGGTTTAAAGAAGACGGTCCATCTCACGGGTTACGTCTCCCAGTGTCGAGACGGGGCCGGGGTTCGGGGATTTTCTCGGTCTGTGTGAGAAGACCTTCTTCTTACGTATAATGCCCGGGGTGGCTTGTCTGTCTAAGTTTTTTTCAATGCACACTCTGCAAGACTGACTGGATTTCGGCCAAAAGTTTTAGGCATTAATAACTCCAAAACCGGGCCGAAATTAAGCTGGATTCTCAACTTTATCCGATTCAGGAAAGAAAAGTTGCCTGAAGATTGAAACAATGGCATGCTGCCGTATTAGATTAACACAGGGATAATTAAGTGAACTACTTTCAGAACAGAGTTATCACTGCCATGGATATCTTGCAGCATCAGCACGGTCCATGGTCCATGAGTCCAACACTAGATTGTGGACAGCAGTTGCGTCAGGTAAGGGCGAAGCCGGCTTGAGGGGCCATCCTCATCCTGTCCTCCACGTAGCAGAGCGTTGAACGCCAGCCTCAGCGGCTCAGCCTGCCCTCTCTCATGTGGCACAACAAAGATTCAGTCACGATCCGCTTATATGCTCAACGAACAGTTCCTCTTCCTCTTACCCGTCGTAGCTAGGACTGGTCGGTGGATCCATTAAATAAATTGTCGGCGATGGTGCCTGCCGAGTGAAACTCTCACGCGGCCTGATTTATTTGAGGTGGCTGTGCCCTCTGCATTGTGCAGCTTGTCACATGTATTACGCTCGCCACTTTATTTTGTCCTGACGAAGTTATATTTTCTCGTAAAAGATTTGCGGATTCTTAAATTAAGGGGGTGTTTGGTTTTTTAGTTGCTCCAAAAATTCATGTCATATCAAATGTTTAGAGACTAATAAGGAGCATTAAATATAAATTAATTACAAAACCAATTACATAGATGGAGGCTAATTTTCGAGACGAAATTTTAAGCCTAATTAATATATCATTAGCACACATTTATTGTAGCATCACGTTGTCAAAGCATGGACTAATTAGGCTTAAAAGATTTGTCTTGTAAATTAGTCGTAAGTTGTGCAATTAGTTTCATAATTAATCTATATTTAATACTACATACATGTGTCAAATATTCGATGTGACAGGAATTTTAGGAGGAGGGAAAGAAACCAAACAGGCCCTAAGATCGAGAATCTAAGGCAATGTTCGGCTGGCTGGTTGGCTACAATTTTCAGCTGAAGCAGTGTTTTTCTCTCATAAAATTTCAGTATAAACAGTGTTTTTCAAGTATGTTCTCTCATAAAATTTCAGTATGAACAGTAAACATTTAAGTCCAGCCGAACACTGCCTAGGATTTTTATGATGACGCGCCATGAACCGGGAACGCTGGAAAGGTCGAGGTGTGTTGCACTGGGCTCGGTCCTCCGTAGCAGAAGAAGAACAGGGTTATTACTCGCGCAATAAGCAACCCAACTTGTATGTCCCGACGTCGACCGAAGAAGTCATATTTGATTTCTTTTCTTAAAAAAATCCTCCCTCACTCTTCGGCCACTTTCCCAACTCCGGCTAGATAAAAGCCCCATCTTGTCCATTATTTCTGGTCAGCTCTGACCTCATCTCCATCGATGAGCTTGGACAAGCATCGCCGGGGCCAATGGCGCATCCTGACGCTGGCGCCGTTGGAGCCACTAGCAACGTCCGATGGTGGTGGAACAGGACACATCACACGCGCCGCATCTCGACACGTCACTGGACAGTGCGCACTGGACGAAGGATCTGTATCCTTGTTATTTGTGTGTTATTGTTGCCTTGTTGCAGATGTACCCTCAGACGTTTCGAGTCAGTATCACTGCATATAGTACCATGCAATGCTTTCCGTGCACATGGCATGGCACGGACGTGCACCAAACCGTGAGTACATCCGTTGCTTTGTCCCTGGCCATAGCATACTAGTATGCTGCTAGTGTCAATATTCTCAAAAGGATGGCAGGAACGACGACGTGCGTGGCAGATAGCAAAAGGAAGACTTGACGAGCTTTGTTTACAGAGGATTAGAAGAGGGGTCAGGGGGGCCGCCGGCGGCACGGAAAGGAACAAGCTTTATCTCTCCTGCTACTGCTACTTTTAAACCGCATGCATTAGGCTAGCTTAAATCCCAAAGGACGCCATCATCACCATGACCCCCAGCAGCAGCGGCACTGCACAGGCGGCTTCAACCGAACTGCCGGCTCCGACCTCCTGAAAACCCACAAAATTAGGATATCATCAAGAAACAAGTTAGACAGAGAGTGACAGAGTTAAAATGCAACACTACAACTTTTAAAAGTTACTGTTGAGAAAAGAAGTTACTACTAAACTGGAGAAGGGAAAGTAACAAAGGCAGTGCATGTAAAACTGTGATGCATGATGGAAGTATGGAACCATGCAGTGCAGTGCAATGGGCCGCGCCGTGATCGCACTACGTGCACCACTACCCACCTGGCGCTTTTCTCCGGGCGCGGGCATGGGCAGGATGGTGGCCGTGTCCGTGACGCCGCGCGGGACCGGCACGGCGGGGCTGCTACTGATGAACGCCGTGCCTCCGCTCCCGGAGTCCGGCGCCGGCGCCCCGGCGGCGGGGGCTCTGGCGGGGCCAGCCGACGCCGACGGTGCCGCCGTTGGCGCCTCGTGGGCGGCCGTGGCCGCCGGCGGGTGCGCGGCGCGCCGGACCTCTCCCCTGCCCCGGTGCCACCGCTCCGTCGGCAGCTTGGGCCGCATGTCGTCGCCGCCGCCGCCGCCGTGGACCGGTGGCGGCGCGGCGAGCGGGGACGGGGACAGGCCCGACAGCTCCGGCGAAGGGTCCGGCACGATGACGGCCAGCGGGACCTTCTTCTCCTCGTAGCCGCCGCCGCGCAGCTGAAACGTACACGTCGTTAAGCTGCTTACTCGTGCATTGTTGTAGCGTAGCTGCTGCGAGTACGGCGAACAATGGGCGTGCAGTGCAGTGCATGTCGATGTGCCTACCTTGAAGGCCTGCGATGATGTGTGCAGGAGCTGGAAGCAGAGCAGCAGCGCGAGGAGCGTGCAGGAGCACCGCACGGGCACGGCGTTGTTGCAGAGCAGCGTCGTCGTCACAGCACCCATCGTTTCTTCTTCCCTCCTCAATCAGCTCTCGTGTCTCTAGTCTCTACAACTCTCTGCTTCAGCTCCTGCAACCTGCAATGCTGGTGCTCAGTGTTCTTGAGTCGGTGCCTTGAAAATGAGAGTGGTGAAGCTAGTGGAGCGGTGGCCTTTGAGGGCGTTGTTGAAGAAGGAAGCGGGGCACACGGTGGTGGGGAGCAGCCGAGCCGAGCAGTGCAGTGACTGGACACTGGTGGGTTGGGTTGGGTGACCTGAGTGCAGGTGCAGGGCAGAGTGCAGACTGCAGAGGGCACCTAAAAAGCCAAAGCCCAAAGCACAAGCACAAGCACAACGGGCACCAGCACGACTGCACCACCCTCCACTCCAGAGCACAAGAGGTCAAGAGCTAGGTGAACACAAAGCAAAGCCTGCCGCTAGCTAACAACAACAGCAACAAAGCCGAGCAGGAGCTAGCAGGCTTTATTTGCTACTTTTCGGCCACCATGATGATGGGGTAAAGGGTTATGTTAATCCATGGTCAGATCTGCGCTGATCTTCATGCTGATTTGCGTCTAATCGCCCCCGGCCTTAGCAGGTGATTAAGCGAGAGGTTACTACTCACAGTACTAGACACGGACAGAGAGGAGGCAGTGGAACCGTGCTCACTGCTCAGTGCAGCTTGGGGTTTCTGGTCACTTGGTCAGTGGTCACGGCTCCGGAAGGGGAAGAAGGCCTTTGAATTTGCTCGGTGTTTGGGATCCGGCAGGGATTCCGATGGGGGACGCGGCGTGGGTATCGAGTTCGAGGAGGGCGCCTTTTTGGGCCCGATAATTGTGACATGAATGGCTGGCACGGGCGCGCACGCACTTGCTTTGGTTCCCCACCACCACTCACCGACGACCTTTTTCCCGTTCCGCCTTCCGCCGAGAGAATCTCAGCTCGGTGTCCCCAGAAAATAGCCAGATGCAGCCCTGCCCTGTTCAGAGCTCAGACCGTCGTCATATTCACCCAGCTCCGGGCTGCACGCTCTCGCTTCATTCGTTTGTCTTGCTGCCCTACGAGCCCTATGTTCGATTTGATCATATTAGTCATGCTTATCAGTTATAATTAATTATAATACAATATTTTTTTTTTTATAACAAAACAGTATCAGCTGATTTATAAGCCACAGAAAAGATCAAACGAACATGTACCTACCCGCCGGGATTGGATTCGTCGCGCCCGCCATCGCATTCGAATCTCGCCGTGAAAAATGCACTCCGCTACCAACACATACATGGTCCTTGACTCCTTGCCCGAGGAGCCAACCAAACCAAGGACATGCGGCCATGCGGGCACGGACGAGGCGCTGGAAAGGACTCAATCATAGTGTCATCATGCGGGTGTATGTTTCTATACATACACTGATACTGAATTACTGATGATGCGATTATACAATGATGAAACGAAATCATCGCACCACTTTGTTTATACTACTTCCTAACGTGGCGGAGGACCCGGTATCGTAAGGTTAGACCTCCGCTCTGCACCTTCATTTCCCTGGGAACATCTCCCCTGTCATGGCTTCCTATCGTGTTTTTGTTGGATAACACCAACGTAAATAACGTGGCTTAGGTTTAATTGGTTATCTGTATTAGTCTGTATCTAGATTTGTGCATTGTAATTATCTAGCATGCAAAGGCTCTAATGCAGCCTTGCACGATACTCGAAGCAGGTCCAATATAATACAACATTACCCAGTACATTGTACTAGGCAATGCATATTTGCACAAGCACATGAAACAATTTGTGAGAAATAGCTCGGCAAACTATTTTTATAGCCACCGAAGCTCACTCACCGACCAATTATTGTGTTTTCAGTTGAGCCAAACCCTAACTACCGATGCCGTCGGAGAGGTGGGCACCGAACTTTAGTTCTGACAAGCACAAGTGCTCAAAGTTCCAATAAACAAGAGTTTTCAAACGGCAACACCGAAACTCTCTGGTGGTGCACCGGAGAGCAGCACCAAAGCTTTAACCCTAGCTCAGAACGGTTTTGCGAAAGGTATGGAGGGGCATCAAAGCCCTCTGACGAAGGACTTCGATGACCAACCAAAGCTTAAGGTTTGTCAAAATTTAGTTCTGCAAAAGGCCTTTGAGGTCATTGGGAGTCTCCAGGGCCACCAGAGTGATACTCAACAGAGTTTAGAGTGCATGCAATGGCTAATTTTGGCATATGTCAGTAACCGTTCGGGATCTCCGTTGACCCCACCGGAACTCTATGGTTGTCGCACGAAAAGTGTTTTAAGTTGATAATAGCTAGTTTCTTGAGAGGGGCTATAAATAAAGTGTGTGGCTAGACATGTAAGAACTCTTGGACTCCTTTGCTTATACACACACCAATTAGAGCTCAAGAAACACCTCCACTCACATTTGCTTGCTAGTGATTGCATTCTTGTTGAGATTGGAGTGATCCAGTGTATTTGCTTTGAGAGATAATAGCTTGTGGCACTAGGTGATCATGTTTGTTGTGTTCTTGTTACTCCTGATGGTTGTCACCACCTAGACAATTTGGAGCAATGGTGACTTTGTTGAAGTACTCAAGTGAAGATTGTGTGGTTCTCATGAGGCGATTGTGAGAGGCTCTTGTGCTCATCCTCACCAAAGTTGGCAAAGAGCAACACTTATTAGAATCAGGTCTTGGAGAAGCATCTTGTGATCTAGTCGGCAAAGAGACCAAGCCCTCAAGTGGAGGAGGCAACCATGCGGGGTTGAGTCTTGATAGAAAGACGATGATCCTTGAGCTTGCCTCAACAAGGACATATATAGGTGACCGAGCAGTCACCGAACCACATGGATATGTCATGTGTCATTCCTCATGTGCGGTATCGAGCTCTCTAATCTTGTGTCTTTTTTCTTGCTTTGATCAATTCATAGAGTAGTGATATTAGGCTTGCTTGTCATCCTAGGGTGATAACGGTTTCACCGAGTGTCGGTGCAAAATGTGGCCGACAAGTAAATATTTGTAGTTTTGCCATGCGCTGTGATCGGATGTGGCCTAGCACGCGATGACACAGGATTTATACTGGTTCAGGCAACGTGCCCTACATCCAGTTTCAGTCGGTTAGTGACTTTATTCCTGAGCCCAGGTGCTCGAAGTTTGCTGTGGGTTTACAAACGAATAGGAATGAGAAAGGGATGTTAGAGGCCCAGTCAGACTCTGATCCAAGTGGAAGAGAGTGACGGATGTTAAGTATTAGAGCGTATGCTCTGTGTGTCCAAGCTTATCCACTGTTGAGAGCATGTAGACTGTGTCCTTTCAGGAGAGGGCACATCCCCTTTTATAGATGAAGGGGATGACCTTACAAGTCAAAGACGGAAAGGGAGAGAGTGTGAACGGGTGCTACCTAGTCTTGTTGCCCACGCCGTCGGGTACGACATGCCATCGCCCACCATACTGTTTACGCCGCCATCGCCCACCATACTGTTTATGACCTGCTATACCTGGCAGGCTGCACAGTGTTCGCCTAGGACGGCAAACGACGGCGCCCACAATACTGTTTGTGCTCTGACATGTCTGGCAAGCTGTATAGTGTCCGTTTGACATGGCCTGACGGCACCGTCAAGCAGGTGCGCAAGGCATGGTAGGGTACAGTCCTCGGTATTGCGGTTGACTTGAGCGCCTTACCTTATCTGCTCCGTCTGCTCCCTGGGCCCACATTGAGCAGGCATCGTGGTCGGTCATTCCCAGTCGGTCCCGACCGTGTCGGTCGGGAAAGAGAGGCGAGCAAAGGTCCGGCATATCCTCGATCAGAGGAACAGGGTTGGAGTCGGACTGCGGTCCCACCATGGCCAGGCCTTCTGGTCAGGGCTCCGACCAGGTCTCTTGGTTGGAGGTGTCGGTCGGTGACTGGATCATGGTCTCGGCCTATCATTGTGTATCTGGGCTGGCCCAGACGCGCATTGTCGCTGCTCCACCTGCTGGGCCAAGTATTGTAGGGAAGCGGGTCTATTGGGGACCCCGGGTTTATGAACCCGACAGGAGCCCCCAAGCCCCTTTGGGGCTTCCGTGAAGCCATGAAGGGGCTATTGAGTCGCCGCTTTTGAGGGTGCACGGGTGTACGATGCTAGAAGATCTCTCGTATGGAGAGAGCATCTTACGTCTTGAACGGGCCCCTGTCTCGGATTCTGGATCAGAGGACGGAGAGAGGGAGGAGAGCATTGTAGCAGTGAGAACAAGAATCTTGGCTCCCTTGTTCCGCTTCATGCTCCAAGGTGCGGAGCAGTCCCGAGGGCTGTTCACACACGCTTTGCGTGTTATTGTAAAAGCCTGGGGCTTGTGTTTTTAGCCTAATGAAAGCTTATATTTGCTTTGTAATTCCTATGGCCATTGCACCGTGGAGGCGGGCTATTTATTGGAACTTCGGTGTTTTCTCCATTGGTTTGTTGTATCGCGTAGGGTAACCAAGTAGGATTTAGGCACCGAACCTCCACGGGGAGGACTAGCGATGGTCGTGGAGGCGCGCTAGTGGGATATTGGCACCCAACCCCTGATGAGGGGATTGGCGAAGGCCGCGGAGGTTCGTCGAGTAGACATAGGTGCCCAGCCCCCAAAGGGGGAACTCTTTGGTAGTCCGTCTTTCTGTCGGGTGCGCGCGAGCGCACCCGGTAAGTGTAGCCCCCCCGAGCCTGTGGCCGACTAGTGAGTCGGTCAGGGTGTTTGCCAGTGTTTGTCCCGCCCATGACTGGCGCGGTCGGTTGGATTCCCGAGTCGGGGTCGGGTGGCCCGAGCCCCCGAGCAACGTTGGGCTCGGTAGGGGTCGGTCAAGTTTCATGCGTCACTCCGTTCGTGGTTTCCACAACCGGAGGGGTTGAGCTAACGTCGCTTGCCTTGATGGCTCAAGTGACGCACTCGGTGAGCTCACTAATGGGCATGTCCGAGTGGAATCCGGGTCCATCGTTCGTAACAGGGTTGGCATAGCCCTCATGTGGCATTCCACTGCTCCATAACCCACCTCCTGGTAGATGCCTGAGCCATTCTATAG